TTTGCGCCATCCACAATCGATAAACAACACTGTTTTATTCGTTTTATGACAATTGGAATTCTGGATTTTCAAAGTTTTTTATTAAAACAAGTAGTTGAACTTATCATTTAATGATCGAGTTATATTTTATGTTGATTTATAACCTAATTCTATTTTTGTTATTGTTTTTGTTATTGTTGAAAAATAGAGTTTCACCTTTGTTGTGAGTAAAAAACACAGAAAAAACATAGTTGCACACTTGTTCGGAATGACTTTAATTTAACTTTTAAATCAATTTTATTATTATTTTCAAGTGTGTAGTTATATTTTGATAATAATTAAGACGATCATTGTTTTTTTCCAAGTAAAATTGTAATAAAAAAAATTTAGATGCAAATATGTGCAAATCGACTAAAAATTAAACATGAAAAAAATTCTTGAAATTAAAAACTAATATCAAAAAATATGGGGCAGGCTTTTCCCACCCTCACCCCGTCTAAATATAGAATTTATTTACTATATTTTATAATTTTATAATTATAATTATAGTAAATGGGCGTTTTGAATAATATTAGGTCTGGTTCCCGATTTCAAAAAATGCCGAAAATTCACCTCGAGTTAGTGGAAACCGAGTGAGACGGAGCATTGAAAAGAAGGCTGTGAAGGCCGCACTCAAACAGTCTGTTTGTGCACCGTTTCACCCACTTTCCAAGTCCTCCCTTGGCGCGGATCCCCCCTGACCCCCCGCAAGCGTTGGGGAACCACATCCGCGTCCACACAGTACGGACAAGGAAAGTGGGTGATATGGGGACGCACAAACAGTGGCTGAAAAGTGGACTCCCTTCAAAAAACACTCGCGGCAAATATTTTATTTTGGTAAACGGGGTGAGGGTGGGAAAGGACAATCCCAAAAAATATCCAAATTTAAATTTTTATATACATTTAAATATTTTTTTTATTTATTAAAAATGATTTTGATATATAGACCAATGTTAAAACAAAAATTAACAATTAAAGCGAATCAAATAATATTTTCAATAGTTTGACCGTTGTACCGACAGTTGGTCTTTGTTCAGAATTTTGTTCCCACATTTTGTCGATAATATCATATGCTTTTGTGTTCATCCCATTTTGACATTCTCTTCTTTTTCCTCCACTTACAAAATCTGCAATAGTCCATGGGTATTGAAAAAGGTTTTTTGGATATATTTCATTCCAAATAAGTGCTTCATAGAACGTTACCGCAAGTGAATAAACATCTGCTGGTTTTTTATAATGTTCTTTCAGTAACACTTCGGGTGCCATATATTTCGGAGTGCCAACTCCTTTTGTAAAAGTCATGTTAGTCATAATTAAATTGATGTTACGACTTGATCCAAAGTCGGTCAACTTTCCATTTGCCTTAATGTTGTCTTCGAGTGTAATAACTAAAATATTGTCTGGGTTTGATGTCTCTGTGTAATATGCCGTTTTCATGCAGATAATTTAATCCTCTTGCACAATCCAAAATTAACTTCACTTTCATTTTCACTGTATATCTTTAAATTTTT